TGCACCAAGGTTGCACAAGGTGTCCCACCATAGGCACTAGGCTCCAAAAAGCCAGCTCATACACTAGGGACAAGTCCCAATCCCACTGCCTGGAGGTCCCCTAAACAGTTCAAGCTAAACAACTGTCTTGCTTATCCAGAGGGCCTAGTCCAGTACCATGGGGCTCCTCAGCTGTTGGTCCACAGTTCATGTGTTTCCACTAGTTTGGCTAGTTGTCTCTGTACTTTTTCCAATCATGGTCTCAATATCCCTTGCTCGTAGAATCCCTCCTCTCTCTCATCGATTGGACTTCTGGAGCTCCACCTGGGACCCAGCTGTGGATCTCTGCATCTACTATTACAAATAATGCTGCTATGAACATAGTTGAGCATGTGTCCTTGTGGTATGATTGAGCATTCCTTGGGTTTATGCCCAAGAGTGGTTTATCTGGGTCTTGAGGAAGATTGATTCCCAGTTTTCTGAGAAACCGCCATACTGATTTCCAAAGTGGCTGTACAATCTTGCATTCCCACCAACAGTGGAGGAGTGTTTCCCTTGATCCACATCCTCTCCAACATAAGCTGTCTTCAGTGTTTTTGATCTTAGCCATTCTGACAGGTATAAGATGGTATCTCAGAGTTGTTTTGATTTTTGTCTTCCTGATAATTAAGGATGCTGAGCAATTCCTTAAATGTCTTTTGGCCATTTGAAATTCTTCCTTTGAGAATTCTCTGTTTAGTTCTATAGCCCTTTTTTAAAATTGGATTGTTTATTTTGATGTCCAGTTTCTTGAGTTCTTTATATATTTTGGAGATCAGCCCTCTGTCAGATATGGGGTTGGTAAAGATCTTTTCCCATTCTGTAGGCTATTATTTTGTCTTATTGACTGTGTCCTTTGCCTTACAGAAGCTTCTCAGTTTCAGGAGGTCCCATTTATTAATTGTTCTCAGTCAGGTGGGTGACTGTTACTGTTGCTGCTGGCTTTGTTTGTATGGCCCTGCTTTTTTATGCCAGCAGTTTTTCCCAGGTCCTGCACCTCCTCTACCTTGGCTTCACACTGTTTGACAACTGCAGGAACCCTGGTATCTCCAGAACACACTCAAACTCCCTTGCTTGCTCTCTTTGCTAATTGATTCCAGACCACTGGTTAGAAACAAAGAAAAAATGCTGAAAGTAAGAATTAGCAATGCTTCAGGGGATTTTTCTTCTATACTAGGGCAGTTACAAGTGATTCTCCCATTCAGACAGATGTTTCTTCCAGGTGAATTTAATATTTTACCCCTACAGAAAGAGAAAGAAATCTGAGAAAGAAAGGTCTGAAAAGCTTTTAGATTTTTTTTTTTTTTTTTTGGTTTTTCGAGACAGGGTTTCTCTGTGTAGCTTTGCGTCTTTCCTGGATCTCACTTTGGAGACCAGGCTGGCCTCGAACTCACAGAGATCTGCCTGGCTCTGCCTCCCGAGTGCTGGGATTAAAGGCGTGCGCCACCACCGCCCGGCTAGCTTTTAGATTTTTAGAGAGAGATTTAATTAAGTTTTTCCAAGGAAAGCTTTCAGTTCTTGAGAGAAAGATTATTAAGTTTTCTCCAAAACTTCTGTTCTCTAAACTTTGATTTCATGGTCAAATGGAAACTAATTTTGATTGTACTGTGTTGCCAGTGGAGCAGAGAATTTTGTTTAGCTTGCATCCGCCTCAGGGAAAACTCCCCCCTGCTTCTCAAGTCTTGATTTTTTTTTTTTTTTTTTTTTGGTTTTTCGAGACAGGGTTTCTCTGTGTAGCTTTGCGCCTCTCCTGGAACTCACTTGGTAGCCCAGGCTGGCCTCGAACTCACAGAGATCCACCTGGCTCTGCCTCCCGAGTGCTGGGATTAAAGGCGTGCGCCACACCGCCCGGCTCAAGTCTTGATTTTAAGTTGTCTCTAGGCAAAAATCTTTCATAGGAATCTTTTTCTGCCCATTTTTTTCTCATCTTTGATATATTTTTTCTGACTCTTCTCCTGGATTTTGCATACATAGTCCCATATTGGAAGCAAGGTTCCTCTGTCTTGTTGCTTATTTTGGCCTAAATTTTTTCTTAAACTATATTTCTAACCCAATATTTCTATTTTCTAACTTATTTAATTTTTTTCCTACACTATTTTCCTATAGATAGAAATTGAGAGAGAGAGAAAGAAAGAAACTTGATAGAAAGAAATATACACTTTTTTTCAATTTCAGGATTTTACTGCCTAACTTGACTCCTTAGAATAAAATATCATTGTCTTTATCAATTCCTTATTGGCATGCCGGGTATATACCCTAACACTTCCTTTCACCAAGTCCCTGGGTTCCTGTTCAGGGTACCATCTGTGGGTGCCCACATTGTTATTTATTAAGATCAACCCACATGAGTCTATTTAATGGGTAATAGGGGTTTATTAAAATATAAATTGAAGAGATACACTCATGAATCCAGAATGGAGTAGACAGCTGAAGTTGTCCTCTGATCTGACCAGGAATGAATCCACCTCGCAGACAGCAGGGAGAAGGGGTACCTTTCCTTTTAAGTGGTCATATACAATGGCAAGAAGCCCAAGGTCATGGGTGGAGCAAATGCCACTACTGTTGTTGGTAGTGTGTGTTTCCCTTCTTTGGGATTTGCTGGTGTGAGGTTATTTATTGCCTGTGTTTTTGTGGGTGCAGCTAACTTTCTTGGGTTGGAGTTTTCCTTCTAGTACTTTCTGTAGGGCTGGATTTATGGATAGGTATTGTTTAAATCTGGTTTTGTCACGGAACATCTTGTTTTTTCCGTCTATGGTGATTGAAAGTTTTTCTGGGCATAGTGGTCTGGACTGGCATCCATGGTGTCTTAGTGTCTGCAAAATGTCTGTCCAGGACCTTATGGCTTTCAGAGTCTCCACTGAGAAGCTGGGTGTAATTCTGATGGGTCTGCCTTTATATGTTATTTGGCCTTTTTCTTTTGCAACTATTAATATTCTTTCCTTATTCTGTATGTTTAGTGTTTTGGTTATTATGTTGTGAGGGGACTTTTTTTTCAGTCCAGTCTATTTGGTGTTCTATAAGCTTCTTGTATCTTCACAGGCATGTCCTTCTTTAGGTTGGGAAAATTTTCTTCTATGGTTTTGTTGAATATGTTTTCTGTGCCTTTGAGCTGGAATTCTTCTCCATCTTCTATCCCTATTATTCTTAGGTTTGGTGTTTTCATTGTGTCTCAGATTTCCTGGATGTTTTTGTTAAGAATTTGTTGGATTTGAGCCTGGCAGTGGTGGTGCATGCATTTAATCCCAGCACTTGGGAGGCAGAGACAGGTGGATCTCTGTGAGTTCAAGGCCAGCCTAGTTGACAGAGCAAGTTCCAGGAAAGGCTCCAAAGCTACATAGAAACTTGTCTTGAAAAACAAACACACACACAAACAAAAGAATGTTTGATTTGACATTTTCTTTGACTGATGAATCTATTTCCTCTATCGTATCTTCAATGCCTGAGAGTCTCTCTTCCATCATTTTATTCTGTTGGTTTTGCTTGAATCTGTAGTTCCTGTTCGTTTACCCAGATTTTCCATTTCTAAAATTCGCCCCCCTCCCCATTTGTGTTTTCTTTATTGTCTCTATTTTAATTTTCAAGTCTTGAACTGTTTCCATCACCTGTTTGTTTGTTTCCTTTTGGCTTTCTTGGTTTTCCTTAAGGGATTTACTGATTTCTTCCAATTTTTTGTTTGTCTTTCCCTCCATTTCTTTAAGGGAATTTTTTGTTTTTTAAGGACCTCTATCATCTTCATAAAGTTATTGCTAAGGTCATTTTCTTCTGCTCCATCTGCGTTGGGATATTCAGGTCTTGCTGTTGTAGAACCACTAGGTTCTTCTGGTGCCATATTGCCCTTTATGTTGTCGAGTGTGTTCTTACACTGCCGTTTACCCATCTGGGGTTGGGGTAATTATAGGTACAGCTGTTGACTCTTCCTCCAATCAGTGTGTGTGGTGCTTGTGCCTCCAGGGACCTCTGATGCTGCTGGGGAGGGTGGTGGAGCAGCCCGGCTGCAGGAGTCTTGCCTGTTGACTGGCTTCTGGGACTCTTCCTCCAATTGGTGCAGGTGAAGGCTGTGCATTCATGGGGCCTCTGATGCCGCTGGGGATGGTGGTGGAGCAGCCTCTACATGTTTCATTCTTGATCTTGGCGAGAACATGACATATAAAGCCCCAAAGAGGCATGGCTGTACTTGTTTTCAAAGGCTGTTACAATCAGTGACTGCCTTGCTACCTTATGTCCAAGAACAAGCATAGGTTCTGCATCTGAGCTGCTATCCACACCCAAGGCACCAATCCCCTGTGTTTCCTGGGCTGGCTGGGAACTCACTATGTAAACCATGAAGCCTGGAGCTTGCAGAGCTCCATCTGTGCCTGTGAGTTCTGGGGTTACAGGAGTGTGACACCACAGCAGACTAAAGAAGTCCGGTGTAAGTGTGAAGAGTTAGAAATTGCTTTTTTATTCATAAAAAATACATTTTCCTCAAAAGGGGCTCTAAAAGGGCAGTCAGTATAAACAGGGAATAGCCTTAGCAAATTATGAAAAACAAGAAGAGCAAATAACATCAAAATAACAAAACCAAAGCCAAAACAACAAAAAGCAAAAACCTAAACCAAAACCCAAATAAAATTAAGCAGCATTCTCTCACTGCAGATTGAACAGCACAGATCTACCACCTGTGGCTGGCCTTGGAGACATGGTAGGAAGACAATCACCAATTATAACAGCATTTTCAAGAGGAGTATAGCCATTCCTCTTTAGGGCTTTATATGCCATGTTCTCCCCAAGGGTAAGGGATTTTCCTCCTTCTGAGTTCACAGCTACAAAGGGGTGTCATTTTCTGAGGAGGCCTAGATCCAAGGGTGGTGAATGCCATGCTCTCTAGTTGTCTGTGGCTTCCTTTTTCTTCCTCAGTTCTCACAAAAGGTGTTGTCAAGAGGGAAAGGGAGTCAAGACTCAGAAGCAGCCATGCTGGGTCACTGGCTAGGCATAATCAAGGCCTATTCCACAATGGAAACCAAATCTGAAGAAGAAACTTCATCCCCAGATTTCAGCAGTTGCTGGGAATGGGACTCAGCAGGTGGCTCTTGCTGTAGAGCCCCCCTCTGCGAGGGGCCCTCATCCTGGGCTGTGGCCTGTTCCAGCTGAAGTTTTCTGGACCTGGGAGAGAAAAGCAGTTAAGACACAGGTCAGGAGGGGACCTGCCATGTCAACTGTCTAGCTACTAACCCCCACCACCTCAGCTGTGCTGGACAGTCAACATTGATCCTTTGACTGATGTCATTGTTTAAACCCCCAAGGAACAAGGCTCACAGAGTGGCAGGGTCTAGAACTTTTCTTATCCTTAAACGCATCATAACTTAAACTGAGCACTGTGTGATGTCCTCTCTACTAAAAAAATAAGGTATTCTCCTACAGTTCAGGGACATCATTTTGTAAATAGCAAGAGGATGTTAATACCATAGCCAACAGTATATGATAAATACACATGGTACTGATGATGAGTTACTGATCAACCACATCGTTTTATTGATAGCCATAATACAGTCTTGTCATCTGGGCACCTGAACAAGGTCACGAGGCTAGCTCAGTCCTCATGCCCAGGAGATACCTTGAACATGAGCAACATGCAAGATAGAGTCAGTCAGTAATCCTAGAGCAGAGATGTGTGCCTGAGAACACTGGCCCTGCATGGGCTCTGGGACCAAACAGAAACTTGTGATTTCCTTAGGAATATGCTGGGAATCTGCATCCTGACTTCCTTTGGGAGTATGTTACAGAACATTCCCAAGAAGGTTCTGATCTTCCCTGGAGCTGAGGCATCTGCCTGGGTTCATTCTGGAAAGTCCTTAACCTATTCTATCCAGAGAACACTTTACACAGTAAATGGGCAAAAGATGCAGAGAGCAGTGTTCAAAGGTGGGAATCTCTTCTCTACAGGGGATGTTCCTCAATAAAAATGTAATTTTAGCCAGGTGTGGTACTCTACACATTTAAATCCAATCACTTGGGATGATAGAGGTAGATCTCTATCAATTCAAGAAAATCCTGTTCAGAACACAGAGAGTTCAGAAGAGAGGAAGGGGGACTCAATTCTATAGACATACTGAGTATCAAATGTATTGTTTTCTGGACAAAAGTTATTGTTGATGGGACCATCATATTTATGTGAGGTCTTCTTTCCCTGGTAGGTGGGAAACATGCATGTGAACAGAGGCCCATAAATGACAGAGATCTCAAGTACAGGGGACCCACTTGGCTCTACCTCCTCTCCCAAGCCTAGGATCCTAATTCATCTGGGAGAATTCAAAGTGATGCTGCAGTTTTTCTGCCAAGTCCTTTTCCTGGGTGACCATCTCCTTCTGCTTCAGCCGGAACTGAAGTCTTTCCTCCAAACTTTGGAGCTCCAGTTCATTAGAAGATTGGGTTCTTAGTGGAGGGTTACACACTGTCATACATAAGCAAGCACATACACAGAATCCCAGTAGCTTGCTGGTCAGCCAGGCAGGCAAAACAGTAAGCATCCAGGGACATAAGAAACCCTGATTCAAGGTAGACAGTGACAAGAAGCTCAGTGGTCTCCTGTAGGCAATGCACACATGCATGATGCACCACAACATCCACATGCATACACTACACACACACACACACACACACACACACACACACACACACACACACACACACACAGAGAGAGAGAGAGAGAGAGAGAGAGAGAGAGAGAGAGAGAGAGAGAGAGAGAGAGAGGAGAAAGAAACATTATGGCATGTGAGCAGTTGAGTTTACACTAACCACACCAGCCTTTTAGAAGAGTCTCACCACTTAGCCATCACTCCTTGGGGGACTAAGACTGCTGGGGGAAACATGATTGGCTTGCCTAGACTATGTTCAGTTGCTCAGAGAAATTTTGCGCCCAAATATCCCACTCTCCACCACTAGCTTGTCAAAAATCCCCAGGTGATCATCCAATGAACCCCAGATATATTCTGTTGGAGTGGAGAACTGTCCAACTCAGAAAACAGGGCTCACAAGCCACTACTCAGGCTTCTTTAACTGTGACCAAGAGCTGGGCAAAGTGAAGAGAACACATCCGGATGCAGGAAGAAAGGAGAAGGCCACATGCCACCCTAATCCATGAAATGAGAAGCACTCATTTGGCATGTGCACACAGATCTCCTCCTTGCAAACTGCTTCCAACAAGTGATCTCACATGAGCTTTGCCAAGCAGATGAATCCCAGGACCCAGAACTCATTTACTCAAAGCTCTGGGCATAGCATCCTACCTATCATAATGACATGTAGGTTTGATATGTTATTGACCCATTTTCCTCATTGGACCACAGTTTCAAGCAGAGCAGCGGGCATGGCTTGCCAATAATTTAGTTTCTCAGAAGAGGCTAACTTCCCAGAAGTACTTGTGCATGGCCACTGAAGTGAACACCTCAGATGGCATGAGGTGGGTGTCTGGATGGGAGCATGGATGAGTAAGGTGATGGGTGAAAGCACAGGAGGGTGGATGGGCAGACAGAGAATCCAATGGGCAAATGGTGCCAGGGCTTAGCCTGACCCACCTACCTGCCCCTACCTGTTGTTGTTGGGTTTGGAGGTCACTGGTCTCTTCCTCTTGGTCCTTACAGATCAATTTCAAGTCCTTGGAATGGTGCTTCAGCAGGATCCAATCCTCCATTAGTTTGTTGTTCTCCTGCCTCAGCATGCCCACCTTCTTCTCCAGCTGAGTCTGTTCCATCAGGAGCCGGCTGTGCAGACCACTGGAGACACGCACGGCATAATAAGGCCCTGCCAGCCTCCTCCTGTCACCCCAGCCTCCAGGAACCAGCAGCCCAAAAGGTGCCAGGTTTCCAGGAAGACAAAGCCTAGATCCCATACAGATGTGACAGCTGCACTCAGAAGGCCAAAATGAGAGAACAGCGGATAGCAGAAAGAATCAATCTACCACAGAAAACCCCAACACCAAAAGGAATCCACTTCCCTTCAATATAAAGGAGTCCCCCAATTATTCTTAATCTCCAAGGTAATGGGGAAACATCACCAAGTAGTGGGCAAATACCCTCTGAGGGAGGGCAGGAGACCCCAGGGGAGTTTATTCTATCTACAGGTTCCACAGCACCCAGACCTGTAAAGCCGGGGCCTGAGCTACAGATGCCCAGGACTGCCTGACAATCCTATCATGGTGGAAATTGCTTGTTTAGATGCTCCTGAGGCTCCAGGACAATGGTGGCAGGGGCTAACAGTCTCTTTTACACTTAGCAAAACTGAGTCCAAGAGACACAAGTCCAAGAGCTGCTTGCTAAGTCTGCTTACTAAGAAGCAGAACGGCTAGAGTCAGAGTTGGGGAAACTCCAGTTCAGAGAAAAAGACAGGCAGAGATGGCACTCCACAACTAATGGAGTCCCTGTCAAGACGGGCACTTACCGACAGAAGACTCTCCTTGGTCAGATCACTGAACTTCTCTGAGGACTCAGTGTTCTCATTCTGCAAGCTCTTTAATTTTGACATGATCTCTTTATGCTCCAACTTCAGTTTCTTACAGAATTTGGCTTGTGGTAGAGACTAGAGACAGGAAGAAGGAAGCCTGAGAACACAGGCCTCAAGGCTCACGGGAACTCAAGTTGTATCCCGGTCTACCACTGCACAGTGGATACCACATTCTGGCTCAAATGTACTGGGACTTCCTGGTGCTTTTAAATTTGTTATCCTGGCCCCAGGTCAGCAGAGGCTGGGGGTTCAGATGGAGGCTGCCCTGGCTGCATGAGCTTACTCAGCAGGCCTAGATGGTCAGTCTAGCTTTCTATGTTACCAGGAGTCTATGCCACAGGACTTGGCACACCAGATATTGCAGTGACATTTCTCCTGTTTCACAAGAGTGATTCTAGATCCTCGGTGACTATTACTGAACAGTTAGACAGAGCACGTAATTCTGGGGTTGAGACCCAACATCAGGACAGCTATAAAAACTCCCCAAGGGATTCCTAGGTGCCACCAAGCTGAGCACATTGGGCAAGAGCAGAGCTGCTTAAAGTGGGGCTCCCAGACCTCAGCACTGGCATCACCTGGAAACTGAGACAGGCAAATCCTCAGGTTCTACCACAGTTCCCTGGCTCCCAAGAGTCTGGAGGGACACACAAACCTGCAAATACACACACACACACACACACACACACACACACACACACACACACACACGAGAGAGAGAGATATATACAAAGAGACAGAGAGACAGATAGCACACACAATCAGATGCTCAAGAAATGCATGGAGCAAGAGTATAAGGCACACAACTAGAGAGAAACAGTGATGAGCCCCAGTCACACATTGAGATGGACCAAGTTGGACCAGGCCCCTGTAGCTGCTACCAGGAGCTTCCAGCACACAATCACCTGCCAGGCAAGTTCAAAGACTCACCATTGACTCACAGCAGCTAGTATCTCACACAAGCCAACATCTGTCAGGTTCTTTCAAAATGTATCCTGGGAACTCACACATTAGTGTCTCAATCCTTGAGTGGTGTAACTCAGACTACAGGCTCTGGTTTTCATTTGGAGAAAGCAGAATAGTTAAGAGTCCCCATCTCACTCCCTCCAAAGCTTCAGGTCTGCCTCTCCTTTGAGAAGAATTTAAGACATGAGTTTGGGAACAGAATCACTCTGGAAGTGCAACCTCCTAGAACCCAAGACCTTGAAAGGAAGAAGGTGAGGGTGACATTGAGGACATGCCCTGGAGTCTGAAACAATGGATACCTATTGTCCATGGTTCCTTCAGTGACAAAGATCAGGTGATCCCGTAGCTCATTTCTTTGACTGGTCATTAGCTTCAGCTCCGTGGTCAGCCTCTCCATTTCCTTCCTCACCTCTTTCTTGGTGAGGAGGGTTGGGTGGGATGATGGCTCCATAGCAGTCTCTGTGGGTAGATGAACACAAGTGAACTTGCATAGTGACAAGGCATAGAGGATGGACAGACCGCCCTGAGGCCCAAACAGACAGATCATGTCTGGAACTCAGTGATACCCCAAACATTTTGGGGCAGGCTGAGATGCCCCCGCTGTGGATCTCAGCTCTCATCACTCTGTAGAGATGTGGCTGTGTAAGCAATCAAGGGTTTCCTCTGCCTCCCTACATATACTTCAGGGGAACAAAGACCATCTCTTCAGGCATATTCACAGCAGCACAGGATGCAACATAGTCCAGAGCTCTGAAGTCTGCCTGTGGTTTCAGAAGCCAGGAGAAAAATGGCACAGTGCATAAGCACTCAGATATTGTGAAGAGCCCAGATCTCCTGCCTGGTCACTCCAGGACCACAGCTATGGATTGAAGTTATGCAGGGACACAACGTGGTCTAAAGACTCAACAAGCTCCTGCACCGACAGCCCAGAACATGGAAACCAGCACAAAGGAGCCAATCTCTGCCCTGGTCCCACGACTCCGACAGATGTTTGGCTACACTAGAGAACTACCTGCCATCCTCAACTGCTGATCAGAACCCTAAAGGGGCCGCTGTCAGGGAGAGGTGGTCAGAGGAGTCTGCTGGACAGCCTGACGACATGATGTCTTGACCAGAAGCACTTGTCTCTCCATGTGACTAGTGTCGAGAGCCACTGCACCTAAAGGAAACTACTGGGCGTGAAGTGCACTGATGCCTGCCCTCTCTCCTCCTGCTGGTCTTCTTCTGTTCCCACATTACACCCACAAACCCTATAACGGTGACAGTTGTGTTTCTAGAATGACAGCCTTGGCCTTGCCAGCTCCTGGTTTAGGAGATGAACAAACTAATGTTCTGGAATCCTTGACTTTCAGGAATTATGATAAGCTGGGAAGTCCATTTGCTTCTCAGAGGCTCCAGCTCCTCTGCCCCATTACTGGAAGGCCCAGTTCAAGCCCACCTCCTCCAGGAAGCCCCCCATCTCCTGCCCAGCACTTACTGTGCCTTCGCCAGAACCACTTACTTGTTCCTGTTTTCCTCTGAGCCTGGACGGCACCTTCCTTCTGCCTCTCTCTGGTCTCTCCATGCTGTCCATTCCCTTTCCCAAACAGACCTCTGAGTCTGGACAGCATGTCTAGAGGCCAGGCTTGTGGTCACTGAACAAATGTCCTCAAGGCAGTCAGTGTTGCTACAACACTGGTGACATCACAGGGGATGCCAAGAGCTGTCCAGGATACAATAGAATACCCAGCAAAGGGCCTGCTGAGGTCATGGGGCACAGCCTTTGAGTTTGTGCTAATTGCTTCTCCCTGAACCGACCAGAAGCCCAGATTCCCTTTCCAGGATCCTCCATTGGGACATAGGGGAAGCCATTCAGTACCTCTTTCCAAATCCAGAGTCTCCTTAGTTGATTGGAAGCCCCATTGTACTTTCCTTGGTGAGAACTGAGCTATACTTTCCAACCAGGAATGTCTCATTCTTTCCTCAAAATTCCTCTATTAAATAATACTGAGAGGCCACCTTAGGATGGAAATAGCCAGGGGTTTCCTCTACCTTCCCACACATGCTTCAGCTGAACACAGAAATAGTCTCTTCAGGCATATTTACAGCTGCACAGGATGCAACGTGGGGAAGAGCCTTGAAGTCTGCCCGTGGTTTCAGAAGCCAGTAGAAAAATAATACAGTGCACAAGCACTCAGGTGTTGTGGACAGTCCAGATCTCCTGTCTGGTCACGATGGCTGGGACTGAAAAGTCATGCAGGGGCACAACATGGTCTAAAGACTCAACAAGTCACCACACTGACAGCCCAGAACATGGAAGTTGGCACAAAGAAAGCCAATCTATGCCCTGGTCCCATGACTCTGACAGATGTTTGACTACACTAGAGAACTACCTGCCATCCTCAACTGCTGATTCAGGACCCTAAGGGACCACTGTCAGAGAGAGGTGGTCAGAGGAGTCTGCTGGACAGCCTGCCGACATGATGTCTTGGCCAGAAGCACTTTTCTCTCCATGTGACTAGTGTCGACAGCCACTGCACCTAAAGGAAACTCTCGAAGCTGAAGTGCAGCGATGCCTGGCCTCAGGTGGGGACACATTAGTCCCTCTCTGCCTCCTGCTTGTCTCCTTCTGTCCCCACATTACACCCCCAAGACCCAGGAAAGGTAAAAGATAGGCGCTCCCAGAACGACAGCCTTGGCCTTGCCAGCTCCTGACTTAGGGGATGAATAAACCAATGTTCTGGAATCCTTGACTTTCAGGAATTATAGGCAGGGATGCCCATTTGCTTCTCAGAGGCTCCAGCTCTTCTGCCCCATTACTGGAAGGCCCAGTTCAAGCCCACCTCCTCCAGGAAGCCCCCCATCTCCTGCCCAGCACTTACTGTGCCTTCGCCAGAACCACTTATCCTCTGAGCCTGGACGGCACCTTCCTTCTGCCTCTCTGGTCTCTGGATGTTCTCCATTCTCTTTCCCAAGTAGACTCCTCAGTCTTGACAACATGTCTATGGTGTACCCTACAGACACTGAAGGAATGCCCTAAGTGATGTTGGTGTCTCTACAACACTGGTGACATCACAGGGGATGCCAAGAGCTGTCCAGGATACAATAGAATGTCCAGAGAAGGGACTGCTGATGTCATGGGGAACAGCCTTTGCCACCCTGCTAATTGGTTCTCCCATAACTGACCAGAAGCCCAGATTCCCTTTCCAGGATCCTCCATTGGGACATAGGGGAAGCCATTCAGCACCTCTTCCTTCCAAAGCAAGAGTTGGAAGGCCCAATATTACTTTTCCTTGTTGAGAACTGAGCTATACTTTCCAAACACTGTCCAGGAATGTGTCATTCCTTCCTCAAAATCCCTCTATCAATATGAATATTAGTGAGAAGCCACGTTAGGATGAATGTAGACAAGGAAAGATCACCTTCCTCAAGTACAGGTGATTGAAAACACATTCAGGAAGAACCTGCTGGGCTGGTTACAGTGTGGGGTTTGGGTTAAGGGTACAGTCATGGAAGCCACGTGCTTAGCTTTAGGGAATTGCCCCAGGAGTCCTTAGCAGATAGAGAATGCAGCCATTAGGGAGCTGATAAAAGTGTGATGATCCATTGGCAGAGGAAACAGAAGTAGTGGATCAAAACAAAAGGTCTCAGGATGAGTATGGTGCTCTCCAATCTGCACCAAAGACACCAAAGCAGGATTAATTACAATCGTCTGAGTTACAGTGAGATTCTGCCTCTTGGGGGAAATAAAGGATAGTGGGAAAATAAGGACAACACCTGAGACACATCTCAGTTGGGAGAGTGACTTCCTAGCATGTAGCAAGTCTTGGGTCAATGCCTAGTGCTGTCCCCACCGGCCAGGCGGCCCCACCTGTAATCTTAGAAATTGTGAAGTGAAAGCAGAATGATTTAAGCTAAAAGTGAACCTGAAAAGCCAGTGTGAGGACAGCTTGGGGCACGTGAGACCCTGTCTCAACACACAAAACAGAAACATACCCTACCTCCAAGACCTCACCTACCAAGCCTTTCTAATGAAAAGAACTTACCATTCTCCCTACCAGTCTTTCATCTTAGGGAGATGGAGGGAAAGGTGAAGTGATGTTTTATATCTGAGGACCTTGTTCATGCCTTAGGTCCACATAGAGACCAAATGAAAGTGGGTATGACCATGTGAACTACTAATACCCAATGCTGCTAGCATAGAACTGTGCCTATGACAATCTCTGCCTTTCCCTGAGGGATGCTGCCCCAGCAGGTAAGTATCAGGGTCTGAGACCAGACCGAACTGATACCTTCAAGGGACTAGACAGAAGCCATCAGAGACACCCCACTTCCTTCACCAGAAATTAAATCAAGCTGATCCATTCCAAACCTGGTTGTCTATTGAACCGCAGATGATACCCCCACTCCATTCAGAGTTCAGTTTAGGGTAGAGTTCAGACACTTACATTCCTGACCAGTATCTTTGTATACTGCCCAATGCCCAGATTTGTTATAGGACTGGGTGTAGACAAGCAATGTGTTGCTGTCAGTAAGAGGTACCCTGTCCAGGACCTCTGTCCATAAGAGACTTTAGAGGAACCACCCCTCTTCTTCCTCAAGACTGCTAATGATGTACAGTCTTCACTTGGGAGCCACAGGCTACAGAGCCCTTCAAAAGTGACATTACGAGGAAATTCAAAATTTCTATTTCCTTTGCTTTTAAGGCAGTTAAATTCAAAGGGACAGTTCCTAGCCAGGGACTAGCCATGTCATCTTGGACCTCACATCCTAAGTACTTTTCCAGGAATGCTTTGAAGGTGGTTTTCTTGGTTTACAGCTTCCAATTTCAATGTAAAACAGACATGGTATATCTTTCATACAGAACAAATAACAGTGATGTATTTACAATGAGTACATCAGTGGAAAATCCAGCCTAACTGAATGGGAAGCAGGACTGTGTCCTGGCCCCTGTGTATCTAGACCTGGCTCACAGGCAGGAGTGGGCACACCTTAGGTCCTCTGAAGGGACAAAGTGAGGTAGAATGGGCACTGATTAGTCTGAACAGCTGTCTCAAACCCCCGACAAGTTAGGTTACAAGCAGACTCCCAGTTAACCTTCCAAGGAGTTCCTGCTGGGGCCATGGTCTCTGATTCTGTGCGCCATAAAAGGTCATGAAGGTGTCTGTCAAAGGGATCCAAAGTCCTGCCATTCAGCACTCTACAGGACAAGGAGCCAATGTCAGGAATGGTGACCTGTCATAAACTATGTGACAAGAGGGACGTGGAATTCATTTGTGTCGAAGATCAGGGGCCTCCTGGGTGGTGTTGGGTCCCTGTTGGCCTTGTGTAACAGCTTGAAGAGCCCAGTTCCAGTGTTCATTGGGATTCCCGTGATGATGCATTCGGACACACCTGGAACCAACCAGAACCAAGGTCAGAGAGCTGGATTCACAGAGTGAAGAAAATATGACTGAATCAGGATTGCAGACTTGGGGTCTGAGGTCCAGCTCTACCACATAACACCTGGCTGATCTGGCTCATCATTTTCCTTCCCATGTATATACCCTAGGGGGATGGCCAAGGAACACTGTCTCTGGAATGACAGTGTCTGGCTCAGGCCAACAGATCACCAGAAGACAATTCAGCTCAAGCCAGTTCTCTGCAACAGGAGTAAAGATCAGGAGATAGACAGCCTTTGAGAGAGTGCTTAGGCAGCAGGATCCCTGCACATGATCAGGAGATGGTGACTTTGCTACCTGCCTTCCTTAGCTTAGTGCCCAGAAGAAAAGATGCCAATGGGGCTGGAAGTGCAGGGCCAGGGGCAGCGTGTCCTTATCAGAACCCTGGAAGGCAGGCTGCTATTGACTTCCAGAAGAACAGCCATTTCCTCCGCTCCTGGCTCCACTTCACCTCTCTTGATTTTTGGAGACAGGGTTTCTCTATATAGTACTGGCAGGTCTGGAACAACTGCAGACCA